CAGAGTGATGTTAATCAAACTCCTCATGTACAGATAGCGCTTTTGTGATTATTATTATTTCCCAAATGATGTTAAACAGAGCAATGGATTTTTCACACTATTTCCTATAATATCTTTTTCTTCTGGAGAAAGTCTTATTTGTTTTATTTTGGCTAGAATAAAATAGATTTTACATTTTTAAAAACCATTTTAACCATTTTTTATGTCTACAGAACAAACCACTGTTATTCAATCCCAATATGCACAAAACGTCAGATTCATGTTGTACCCCAATATCGTGGGACATTGTGTTTTGTTTGGAAAATCGGGTTGATGTCAGAACCCAATGTCAGGCCGGAGTCAATAGCCCCTTTCACACAGTGATACTGCTAAATATCCGGAAAATTTCCAGAACTACTTTACCGGTATATTCAAAAAAACGCTGTTCACACAGGCAGGACGTTACGGAATTTTTCCGGAAAAGAGCATTCACAGATCCATCGCAAAATGCCGGTAAATTCTAACATCATTAACCAGAAATGACCTCTAAATGGCTGCGCTTGTGTTTGTAAACATTTGACTACATTACAAACTCTTCGGATGGATCAGTATTGAGTACAACTCCAATGAAAACATATAGAGGATCACTTTCGCATGTCGAGATGTTCATGATATGTGTGTGTGCTGGCGCTATGGGCGCTCACGGGCACACGCAAAGCTTAAAGGTAAACAAACAACGGATTATCATAAACATTTTATCGATAATTATTTACACAGCATTAAGAAGGAACATAGAAACATTATCTGACTAACATCTAGCAGCTAAAGTTGTCTGGAAAAAATATTCAAAGGCTTTTATTCTCATAAACCGCGCGCTCGTGAATGCGTCTGACTGTTCTGATTGGCTAAAGCAGGCGTCTCACGTCAGCCCGTTCTAGACGTGGACGTGCTTATTACAGCAATCTTCCTTCTGCATTCACACAGCGCAGCATTCCAGCAAATTACCGGTAATGTTACAACTTCTCTTTCCGGAAAATAGCCAGAACGAATTTACCGGTATTTTCAAAAAGGGCCTGTTCACACATACAACCTTTCCGGAAAATTGCCGGTAATTTTCCAGGAAAGGTCTGTATGTGTGAAAGGGGCTAATGTCCAACGTCGGCCTGATGTCACATTTTGGTTACTTTCCAACGCAACCTACAAACAACAAAATATCAACGTCTAATGATGTTACAGCTTGAAGTTGTGTGGAAATTACCAATATAACGTCTATCAGACGTTGGATTTTGGTTACCACACCTGACGGATAAATGTCAGTATTTGACGTCAATATGATGTTGGTGTAACAAAGGGTCTGACAAAGAGGGATCCATTTGCAGTATATTTATTAAACACAGTTTATTAAAGAGCACACGGTATGCACTAGTGTGCGAACTCACATCAAACACGGTTGTATATGGTCGATAGGCTGGCGGCTGGCATACACAGGACGATATAGCAGGCATGGGACAGAGGCAGGTGGCTAGGATCAATGTCGATATTCAGGCTGGGTTCAGAACAGGCGGCAGGCAAGGCAAGGTCGAGGAACAGTCCGGGTTAGCAACGGGAAACGCTCAGTAATGTCAGCAGGGGCAGAACAAGACTTCGCACTGAAGTGTGTGTGTGAGCTGCTTATATGTGTGTGGAGGTGATCAGTGTAATGTGTGGCAGGTGTGCAGCAATCAGTGTCTGAGTGGGTAACAAATGTCAATAGTCCGGTGATGATGACCTCTGCTGGCCAGCGAGGGGAATGACTGGGACAGAGTCGGTGACAGTTGGTTTAAAATGTTGGCTCGCCATTGGATTTTGGTCACTTTCTAACACAAAATCAACAAAACACTTACATCATTTTATGTTGTTATTGGTCGTCTAAATAAAATTGTCTATAGACACTAAGGACCTAAATCTAACTTAATATTAATGTGATATTGTGTGTCTGCTGGGATGATTTGCCTAATTACCCTAATTAACCTAATTATGTTAGGGTTAAGGTTGTAAAAAAGGAACGATGACTCAAATGCATGATAAATGCATGTCCGTAGTGTATGTGTGTGAATGAGTGTGTATGGATGTTCTCCAGAGATGGGTTTCAGCTGGATGGGCATCCGCTGCGTAAAACATTTGCTGGATAAGTTTCTATTATTAAAAGGACCAAGCCGAAAAGAAAATAAATGAATAATAAACTAATAATGGGTTAACAAGGAGGGTGGGACTAGACAATAGACAGGAAAGCACATGACACAAAGAAACAACCCAAGCTATCTGCTTACATAAAACAGGACTAGAAGATGCCGCCAATGAAAGAACTCATTAACAGCGTGTTCACATGCGGCATGCATGTTTCTGATCCCAGCAACAACCGAAATCAAAACCAACTAGACTGGAGCTCTGAGACAGAAAACACCATGTCGCGAACAAAAACAAACCAGGAAAGGAGTGTGCATCCTGAGCATGCCAGGACACGTGTCTGAGCCATGTGGGAGTGCGCATTACCTCAGCATGATCAAGATGGAGCTCATGCAAAAGATAAAGACAGACAAGAACGGGAAAAGTGTGCTTGACCTAAGAAAACTCGAGCCGAGCACAACATACAAGACAAGACAGGACTAGCGTCTGGACTCCAAATGAAGAAGTAACCGGACCGAAGTGGCAGAATCCTGACAAACTATCCTAGTTAAGCCTTTAAATTGTACTTTAATCTGAATATTAGTATCTTGATACATTTCTAGTTAAATATATAGTGCTGTAATCATGGCAAAGATAAAAGAAATCAGTTATTAAAACTATTATGCTTAGAAGTGTGTTGAAAAAAATCTACTGTAAATGATCTCCTAGTAGGATAAAACACAGTATGGCATAACTCATTATGCTTTCCAATGCCCCAGGACCCCAATCCTCTCGAACGCCCTGAAGACACATGAATGAGCTGAAAAAAATCATTTGTAGTTTGATTTCGCACCAAAACGCATGCCTGGACCGCAACTATGTGTGGTGCTGTCCCCACCCGGGGGTGGATGGATGGCTTTCTCAGCATGTTCTCATGAGGACAGGCTCACCCCAAGGCTCCATTTCTCACCCGACATCACCCTCGTAATTATCTCCATCGCAGCAGGGTTACAAACCCTTCTGTCCCCCAGGCCAACGCTGCACATTGGCGCTCACAGAGTCATAACTTATGAAACACACAGTAGGAGGTGTGACTTTAGAGGAACTGAATAAAAAATGAACAAATTGAGTCTGTCAGATATTCGAAACCTGCTAAGATCGCTTAGCTTAAGGATTTGCAATAAGTTGACCAATTCCTTGAAAGATTCAGATTTAAACATGCCTGCAACTTAAAGAAACACTCTTTATTTAGAATTAAGCTTATTTTACAAGTCACCTAGCAGAGTTTAGGAGTTGAGTTTTACCATTTTTGAAACCATTCAGCCGATTTTCAGGTCTGGCGGAAGCACTTTTAGCTTAGCTTAGCTTAGCATAGATCAATGAATCGGATTAGACCATTAGCATCTCATTAAAAAATAGGAAAATAGAGTTTTTTTTTCCATAATATTTTTATTTTTCGTTTTCAGTTTGTTCACATTGAAATACAACATTTAACAAACATTTTACAACAACAATAACCTTGTTGCATTTACAAATTATACAAAATATGAATATATATATATATATATATATATATATATATATATATATATATATATATATATATATATATATATATATATATATATATAAACTAAAAGCAAACAAACAAACAACAAAAAGTAAATAATAAATTAAATTAGAGTAAAACTGCTCCTCTTTTTGTCGTTAATGGTAATCTATTCAAACTTGATAATTATAATCATACTGTAAATCATAAAGTTGCTATATAGTTGATATAGCTAGGAACTATATTCCCTTTCCAGCATAATAATCAAGGAACTTTGCTGCTGTACTATACGTAGAGGATGTAACCTACGGAAGAGTCAAGCTTTAAAAAAAATACAACATTGTGTCATTACTTTGAAATGTTTTGTGTTTTGTAATTACAAAAGGATGCAATCAATTACTTTTTTTAAAAATCCCAGGATGTACTTCGAAAAAGAGTAAAGGTTTAACTCTGGCCAAACTTGCCCACTGGCCTCTGTCGATCACGGCCTCCTATCCATCCCCAAATCATAAATGGCTTCATCACTCTATCTCTTCTACACCATTCAGCTGGTAAGTGGTGTGCGGTCTGGCACAATATGGCTGCTTTCGCTTCATCCAAGTGGATGCAGCACACTGGAGGTGGATGAGGAGATTCCCCATAAAAATGTGTAAAGTGCTTTAAAAATGTGTAAAAGCACTATATAAATGTTAGATATTATAATTTTATTAAATTAATTTTTTTTTAAGTAACTCACCTAGGACTAGTCAGAGCGAGATTTTAATTTTTGGGCAAAATTATCAGAAAAGCTGTATAGTTTACAATAGGCATAATATCATAAGGAATCGCAAGTATTTTACGTTTCGTCAGTTTATTAGCGAGTTCACTCATACAAAAATATAAGATTTTTTAAAACGAGGCGTGGCACCCAACCCCACCCCTAAACTCAACAGTCATTGAGAGACGAACAACTGTACTAAATTGTATGAATGAGATCGTACAAATTCATGCAAATAAGCCACTAAATCAAAAAGTTACAAATAGTGTTGGAATATCAGACACTGTCGAACTTTTTGTGGAGTCTTGTGGAGTCTTTCAATCAATCAGTCAATCAATCAATCAATGAATCAATCAGTTATAAAAAAAATTTCATTGGAAAAATTTCAAGGAATGTTTTTTTTTGCCTTAAATATGTGTCAGTTTATATATTTATATATATATATATATATATATATATATATATATATATATATATATATATATATATATATATATATATATATTTAGACTGGACAATAATTTTATTTATTAATAATTTTTTAACATTTTCATTATTGTTGTCTTTTAGGGTACAGCGGCAAGTCGAGTTCACTATAAAGCGGATCTGGAGCAGTTTCCTTACAGCACTAGTATCTTTGACGTGGAGGAAAACTCAGGAAATATTTTCACCAGGGTCAATCTGAACGAGGAGCCCAACACTAAATTCAGCGTAAGTGCACAACAATCTTTTATTAATACAAGGCTTGTCAACTAGCAACCTGCAGGCCATAACTGGGCCATCAGTCATTTTTATGTGTCCTATAGACTTATATTGATGAAAACACTGCACTGCCTTATACACAACACCGCTTGCAGAATATATATGATCCTCGGTAATATATATATATTCCTCTATATATATTCTGTCTTGGCTCACCAGTTAACTAACTACACATAAACGGGGAGTAATCTCCCATTTAAGCAATGTTATTGTAAAAAATGTAATTAAACCATATTAACAAAAATAACGGTAAACAAAAGAAAGCAGGTGAAACACACTGTGTTTGATAATGAACGTGCACACGGTTAATATAGGCCTGTTAATAATCTGTTCAAAGAATAATTAAAATAAAAGCAGTTACCGCTGCTGCTTACAAAAGAATATGTGTATTTTTTTTTAATCTTGAGCTCTTCAAAACAGCAGGACTGAGTGTGCACGATCATTACTCTTTGTCCAGGCTATTTCAAAGGGAACCAATCGCACCAGTTGAGCTTCCTCTAGGCACGGTTGCTTGTTAGTAAACGGGAGAGTGCATGCTTTTTAACAGAGTGATCATCCTCTCGTTCGGTATTTACCTTCTTTCTTTTGCTCGGCCGAACACAGTTGATTTTGTCAGTCGTGCTGCTTCTCGATTTTAAGATCACATGTGCATGAATGTTGGTCCATGCTTTTAAGAAAACTACAAATTAAAAATGATTTCCAACCAGCCAAAATGGCTAGTGAAGGTGTCTGTCTAACCCGCCAGAGCTGAAATCACACATTTGGTGGGTTGGTGGGTGTTAATGTAAAGCCCTGCTAATTACCCTGACTTGCCTTATTAACCTAGTTGAGCCTTTAAATGTTACTTTACGATGAATAGTAGTATCTTTAAAAAATGTAGTGAAATATTATGTACTGTCATCATGACAACGATAAAAGAAATCAGTTATTAGAAACGAGTTATTAAAACTACTGTATTTAGAAATGTGTTGAAAACTATCTTCTTTCAAACAGAAATTGGGGGAAAAATACAGGGGGCTAATAATCCAGAACTGTAATCCAGAAATATATATATATATATATATATATATATATATATATATATATATATATATATATATATATATATATATATATATATATATATATCGTTTTTGTTTTGATGTAAATATACTTTTAGTCCTCCTATTTTTTTCCCCCCTGACATCGATTTCCACCTGTTTCCAAACAGTTGGCAGTCATTGCCTATGATGACGGGGAGCCGATGAAGTTCAATAAGTCTCTGGTGGAGATCACTGTCCTGCAGCTGTCCATCATTCCTGTGTTCACACAAGAGGAGTACAGGTGAGCAAACCCTTAAAAAAAAGCTGTATGATCACCAACTGTCCTTTCATATGGCAAAATATCGATCAGAAGCTGTGGTACATATCAAAACCTCACCAGTAGGAGCTTATATGAGTGAATAGCAGTGCAAAATATAGAAATGCAGTACTTTCACACTGTCACTTGAAACTAGTTTTAAAGTTTGATATCCGGAAAGTTTGGTATTAATGAACAGCAATGCAAAATATAGAAATATTTTATTTTGTTTTATTTTATTTATTTATTTATTTTTTATTGATGACAATGAGTTCACTGCACTCAAATGGCCTCCACAGTCACCAGTTCTCTGTCTTATAGTGCACCTTTGGGATGTGGTGGAACGGGAGATTTGCATCATGGCCGACAAATCTGCAGCAACTGCGTTATGCTATCATGTCAATATGGGTCAAAATCTCTGAGGAATATTTCAAGTACCTTGTTGAATCTATGCCACAAAGGGTTAAGACAGTTCTGAAGGCAAAAGCGGGTCCAACACGGTACTAGTAAGGTGTACCTAATAAAGTGGCCAGATAGTGTATATAAAAACAAGCCCTTTTTTTCATATTCAATAGAGGGTGAACAAAAAATATGCACAATCTAAGCTCCATGGCAAAGTAGGTAGTTTTCAGGTTGTATCCTCTATAAAACCGTCAGCGTAGATTTAATCATACTCTTTATGAATATGTATAATAGCTGCAAGGTAAAGTGTTGCAAAGATGCGACGCAGTTTCATTCTCGCGGTTGTTTCCTCATAGGACATTTATACACTCCATTCGAAAGCATTACGGCTGCTTTATTAAATTACATATTTAATATATTTGACACAAGGGGTAATCAGTTCAATTCGCACGACTTCCGAGGCAAATAGCACTTGCACTTGCTTGCCTAATTTGATTTAGATCTAAAAGCATGGAAGCTTGTTTGGCTGATTTTTTTACATTTGTTTTTTTCAAAAGAAAACAGCGGATTCTGTGTCAGTAGATCTGCACTGAAAGTGATTGTATTAATGGCTTTAGAGTGAAGTGCTAGTTGCACACACGCTTTTGATGACCAGTGGGGTTAAAAATGGCTTTGATAACATCCTTATCCGTTGATTAATCAGAGCTGCAGAGACAGAGAAACATGGAGATGAAAAGGCTTGGCCGAAGGTCTGAATTAATGCTGTGTCCTACAGAGCTGCAGAAAGGTCATAGTTGATAGTAGCTGTGCGGCACACTGAGAATAGCAATAGATTTCAGACGCAGCTCTTGATTGCTGCCGCTGGACACATTAGCCAGGTGTCTGTTGCCCCTGTGTGGTGAACACACGGCTGTTTAGAGTTTGTCTGACTTCCATGGCTTTACCGGTCTAGAAAACTGCTCTGGGGGATCAACCAGAGGGATGCTTGAGTCAACCCATGTCTCTGTCTGTAATTACCTGCTCAAAGTAAAGTCTTCGGGTTGTATACATTCAATAGTGCGAGACATTGCTTTCCAAAGCAAGAGACACTGTTTCTGTTGCCAATGTTTACGAAAATACTACCTCAAATCATGAGACTTGTTAAAGGGTTAGTTCACTCAAAAATTAATTGGTTGGTTGGTTGGTTAGTTGATTGATTGATTGATTGATTAATTGATTAATTGATTGATTGATTGATTGATTGATTGATTGATTGATTGATTGATTGATTGATTGATTGATTGATTGATTGATTGATTGATTGATTGATTGATTGATTGATTGATTGATTGATTGATTGATTGATTGATTGAAGGGTTGGTTGGTTGGTTGGTTGGTTGGTTGGTTGGTTGGTTGGTTGGTTGGTTGGTTGGTTGGTTGGTCGGTTGGTCGGTCGATTGGTTAGTCGGTCGATTGGTTGGTTGGTTGGTTGGTAGGTTTAATGGTTGGTTAAATGGTAGGTTTAATGGTTGGTTGAATGGTTGGGTGATTGGTTTGTTTATTGTATGGTTGGTTTGTTGAATGGCTGATTGGTTGGATGTTTGATCAATTGGTGAATTGGTTGGTTGGTTGATCAATTAGTGAATTGGTTGGTTGGTTGATTGTTTGGTTGGCTGTTTGGTTGCCTAATTGAATGGTTGAAAAGTATTGTATTGAAAAATACAATTAAAAACTCCTCCACACCCCAAACCTCATCATTTTTTTGCTTCCATTTAAAAGTAAGCATACAATAATAATTTATTAGTGGACAATATATTCAATTAGCCTAATTTATGATCTAACATTAATCTAACAATATAGTTGCTTTATTCATCTTTAGAATACAAATAAATATATTTTAAATGATATCCTGGAGCTCTCTGGCACCATAGACAGCAATTTATGACAATGTTCAAAGTCCAGAAAAGGAACCAAAAATATTTGTTAAACATTTCTTGTGGCTTCAGTGCTTCAGTTGTAATCATACAAAGCTCCAAGAATACTTTTATGTGACAGAAAAAAAAACAAAGTAATCTCACGGCAATTTGTAACTTTTTTTTAATTGGCTAATTTGTTTATTTACATACAATTTGCTCATTACTCAATGAGTGTTAGGTTGAGTGGTATGTTTGGGGGCACACCTACTTTTAAAAAATATACTTTTTTATAGGAATGAAATTCATATGTATAATGTTTTTGTGGACAATACATAAAACAGTTTCCTTGAGAGATCTTGCTGAAAAAACTATGCATTTCCTTGATAAGTGAGCTCAAGAGCAATGCAGAGTTATGGGCAAAAACAACAGAAAACACTTTATTATATGTGAATTTTAAATTATCTATTTATGTATTCCCTTGGTGTCAAACCTATGTGACCTTGCTGCCTTTGCTAGAACAGAGTCTGAGCTTATAGGGAAGCTACAGTTTTAGAGAGGTTTTGGACAAAAATAACATGCTTTAATCTGCAGCAAGTTTTATTGCATTCAAGGCTAACGCTGTTTTTAAACAATTTATGCATTCCCTGACCAGAGCTCTTGCAGTACTAGTGTTATCCTGATCTGTTTGAGCTACAGGAAAGTTAAAGTTTTAGAGGGGTTTTGGGGGGTGAAAAAAGGAAAAATAAGAGTTTCACCCAAAGTGACTTTTGTTGTATTCAAGGTGAACACTGTTTTGCTGGGTTTTAAATGTTTGAGGGGAAAAACAAAAAGCAAGACCATTTTTATCTGAGGGAAGGAAGGAATTAAACCCATGACCTTGTCATTTGTTGAATTGTTTACAGTGTGAAGAGTAACTGGTCTAGGAAGAATTTGAGAGAACGTCCTGACAGCTGCATGTTTGCTTATCCAAGGGTTTTGAGAAGAACTGGGATATTTTAACAATGGAATACAGTCATATGCAACCGTATAGCAACACAGCCACATCATAACAATATGAAAACCTGCTGGTGGTTGGTTGGTTGGTTGGTTGGTTAGTTGGTTGAATGAATGGTTGAGACTGGCTGGCTGGCTGATTGGTTGGTTGATTGATTGATTGATTGATTGATTGATTGAGGTTGGTTCGTTGGTTGTTTGGTTGGTTGGTAGATTGATCGATCGATTAAATGGTTTGTTGGTTGGTTGGTTTGTTGGTAGAATGATTGATATTGGTTGGTTGGTTGGTTGGTTGGTTGTTAGGATGATTGAATAGTTGGTTGGTTGGTTCGTAAGTTGATTAAATGGTTGGTTGGTTGGTTGGTTGGTTGGTTGGTTGGTTGGTTGGTTGGTTGGTTGGTTGGTTGGTTGGTTGGAAGATTGATTGATTGATTGATTGATTGATTGATTGATTGATTGATTGATTGATTGATTGATTGATTGATTGATTGGATCATATTAAAAAAATACAAGTCTAGCCTGTCAGTTTCACCTTAATGTTATATTCTTTTGCATTTCATTTAGTTTAAGGATGCCCCTCCAAAAGCAATTTTCACCACATAAAAACAAAGCATATTTGGTGGTGAAGAGAAGGGTTAAGTTGTTGTATTAAAGGGTAATTAGGTTAAAACACTGCATTTTTGTTGCTTTTTTGCAAGTAGCCATACATACATTCTATTTGTTCGTTTGTTTGTTTCGTTTTTGCCTTTCTAAAATGTGTATCCTGTGGATTTTAGCACTGTTTATCTGATAAAAATGCTTAATGAATCTCTCTGACTCTGCTAAATCCCCAGCCAAACACCCTGCCAGTTCTGTTTTCCATTTTGATGATTACACCCATCATTACTATTTTTATGCTTTCCTTCTGAATGGCTTTTTAGCGTCAATTTAGTTTTGACTTCATTCATGTGGTAAGGAAAAGCATGTTCGTTTCAAACATTGTTTGGACTTTAGAAATGTATAAACCACTGTATAATTGAAAGTCATAGTTAAAGGTAATCATTTTCAAAAACTTTTCTTAATTAATTCAGAAAGAAATAAAATATAATCAGCAGCGGACATTTTTTGTTTTAGGTGCTTCAGCGGAGTAGCATATTGATTGAATCTTACAGTGCTGTCACATCTGAGCTAAAATAAACCCAAAATAGTAATGAAATGTCTGTCCATCATCTACCTAAAGCTAACAGTCTGGGATTGAGTGAACTGGCCATGTATGGTAAAAAAGCACAGGCTGTTCCAGCAGTTGGAAATTATTAGTAATTTAGTAAAGAGGACATCATGAAAGCACCCTTTGGGCCTGGATCCGCAAGAATGAGTTTAATTACCATGAATTGTTCAGTGGTGTATAATGGTCATTGATAATTAGAGGGTGGTTTGCAAATGTTTAAATTGGATATTACATGCCTTGAGTGCTATTTCTTTTTAGTTTCTGCCATCAAAACAGTTTTACCTCACATCACATGCACTCGTGTAAGTCTACATTCACAATGTTCATGTAGTTTTATGTGATGCTACACCTATAATGGGCAGCTGGAGAACAAAAAGAAATTTTCTCAGCTCCACACTATACCAAATTTGATTGTATATTTTTTTGGATTATTTCAACTTGTTTGTTTAGATAATCAAGTTTCAAAGGAATAGTTCACCAACAGTTTA